CGAGATTTTTTAAAATTTTTTTAGAAGGAGTTTTGGCCCCAAATTTCGTAGACGTGATCCTTCTATTTTTATTGGCATGCACAAAAACATTCAACTAAAAACTCGAAGTGGAGAAGATTTTGTGACCATTTGGAAAAAGTGTCCTAATTTCAGACACTTAAATGGCTACTGGCAGCAAACCTATAAAATCTCAAATGCTCTTTAAGGGGCTATGAGTTCTCGAGGTTTCATGAGGGATAGGGGACCAATATAAGGGCCAAGTACCAGCACCCATTGCACATCATGTGCGCAGACCCCCTGGCCCCCCCAATCACCGGAACCCCAAAGCTGTCGGTTAGGTTCTCCGGTGATGCTCCGGTGATGCTGCCCTGAGCGAAAAAAATAGGGCACTAGCACATTCCCAAGCCCAACATGTGCACCGTGGCTCAATATCAAACTTCGGCCAAGACCTTGACCATCAATGGCACATGATGGCGCATGGTGATGGCACATGCATCGACCATCATCGGCACAGGCTGCCCTTTGGTACGGGCACTTGCCTCGACTGCCATCGGCACAAGCTAGGCCCTGGTGTGGACGGTTGCCTCGATCACCATTGGCACATGCTGGCCCTTGGTGTGGGCGGTTGCCTTGACTGCCATCGGCAGAATATGGGCCCTAGTGCAGGCGGTTGCCTCGATCACCAATAAGGGTGGAGCAGCCCTCTATTTATAGTTGAGGCTCCAACTACACTTAATGGCAATATCCCTAGAATAAAGCCTAAAATCAAGGGATTATATAGATTACAATCAATCAGGATGCTAACTCTTGATTTTCAGGGTCAACCAAATCTGCTAGGATGCTCCTGTTGATCCTGCCTGCTTCCAGAAGCTTTCTTTGCGTGTCCAGCACCTTGGGCCCTTCTGGATGTGGTGCGGGTAGCTTGTATGCTAGGCCTTGGTCTCACGAGCTGGCCTGCAAGTTGGGCGGGTGTTCTGAACTCGTTTTCTAGGCTTTACGCGTAGATACCCGCCAGCACGCCTGGTCTGCGGGCCTTAACCTCTAGCTCACCTGCTGTTGTGCCTGGCGCACCTACCCAGGGAGTGACATTCTCCCCCACCTAATTGCGCAACACCCTCGTTGCGTCTTCTGCATGGTACTACCTGATCTGGTCCCCAAACTACCATAAGTCATCTGCTGGTTCCCAGCTCGCCTCACTATCTAAAAGTCCCTTCTAGTGCACCAAGTACTTTTGTCTTGGTTGATAGTTCTTCCGTCTCACCTTTTGGTTAGCTATGATGCTGTGGACCTCCTTCTCATATAAGGCCTTTGCTCCCAATGGCGCACACTTTGACTCTACCTATCCTAGATCTCCCTCATCCTCATGGAACGGCTTAAGCATGCTCACATGGAACACCGGGTGTACCCTCAGCTTGGGTGGCATATCCAGCTTATAGGCAACCTTGCCTACCCTCTTGACTACTCGGAAAGGTCCCTCATACCTCCGGACTAGGCCTTTGTGCAGCCCCCTATGGTGCACAATGGGATACAGTTTCACCAACACCAAGTCTCCAACCTGGAACTGTACATCCCGTCTATTCTGGTCTGCCCACTTCTTCGACCTCTTGGCCGCCTTGTGTAGACAAACTCTGGCCAAGTCAGTTTACTCCTGCCATGCCTTGGCAAACTTGTATGCTACTGGATTCAACCCTGTATAACCTGCAGCAATCGAACCGGGTGTTAGTGGTTGTTGCCCTGTCACAACCTCAAATGGGCTCTAGTTCGTTGCCTCACTCCTTTGTAAGTTGTAGGAAAACTGTGCAATATCTAGCAGCTTTGGCCAGTCCTTTTGTGTGGCACTCATATAGTGCCTGAGGTAGACCTCCAATAGTCCATTCACTTGTTCTATCTACCCATCGATTCTGGCGGATGCATGCTGGCGGAAAAGTTCAAGTCTGACCCCAACAGCTTGAACAACTCAGTCCATAACCTACTTGTGAAACGCCTGTCCCCGATCACTAATAATGGTTCTTGGCACTCCCTAGTACTTAACCATGTTCTTTAAGGAATAATCGAGCTACCTCCTCGACTGGGCCTCTTAGTTGCTGGAATGAAGATTCCATACTTGGAAAACCTGTCCACCCACTACCATGAATGCTTCCAAACCCTTCTGCTTTGGGTAAGCCCGACTGTAAAGTCCAGAGAACACTCTCCCATGGTCCACTCTGGCACTACCAATGGCTTCCAAGAGACCCCCATGGTTTCTTGAGCTCCCACCTTGTCCTGTTGGCACACAAGACAAGTCTTCAATAGGCCTCCACCCTCATCTCTCATGTGTGGCTCAGTAGTACGGTCCTTGATCAAGTGCCAAGGTGTGGCTCACTTCGGGTATCCAACCACTTGAAATCATGGCATTCTTGCAAAAACTTCCCTTACGGAGCTTTCCGTGCTGCAGTACAAATAGTCTACTGCCCCTGGTGTACAACAAACCATCCTGCATCCAAAACCGCCTAGTCTTGCCTTGCTAGGCATACTCCATCAGAGCTTTGGCTGGAGGATCATGCGTAAGTCCCTCCTTGATGCGCGGCACCAGTGACCCTTCTGGTTGACTAATGACAGCAAGGTTAGCCTTTCTGCTCAGGGCATCTGCCACTAGGTTCACCCGTCCTAGCTTGTACTCCATCTGGAAATCAAATTCTACAAGAAAATCTTGCCATCTCGCCTGCTTAGGGGACAGCTTCTTCTACGTCTGGAAGTAGCTGGTCGCCACATTGTCCGTCCTCACCATGAACCTTGACCCCAATAGGTAATGGCACCAAGTGCGCAAGCAGTGCACCACTGCAGTCATCTCCTTCTCTTGGATCGTGTACTTATGTTCAGTCTCGTTTAGCTTTCTGCTCTCGAATGCGACTGGACGTCCCTCCCGCATCAACACGCCCCTTATGGTAATGTTTGATGCATTCGTATGTACCTCATACGACTTTACATGGTCTGGCAAGGCCAAGACTAGCTCTTTGGTCACAGCCCACTTCAACCTATCAAAGGCTTCTTGGTACCCTGCGCTCCACTCCCCGTGCTCTCCCTTTCTTGAGCAAGTCAATCAATGGTGTGGCTATTGCTGAGTGACCTTTGATGAAGCGCCTGTAGTAGTTAACAAGCCAAAAGAACAATCTTTACTCAATGACCTTGGCTGGTGGTTGCCACCCCAAGATGGCGTGTATCTTGCCTTCATCCATTTGTATCCTGCCACCTCCCACTATGTGGCTAAGGAATGGGATCTCCTACTGGGCGAATGAGCACTTCTCCCTCTTGACAAACAGCTTATGCACCCACAACACCTTGAACACCTGTCTTACATGGTCTAAATGCTCTCCCAAAGTTTGGCTGTAGATCACAATGTCATCCAAATAAACCACAACAAATCGATCAAGAAATGATTGAAGTACCTTGTTCATAAGGGTGCAGAATGTTGTTGGGGCGTTCGTGAGTCCGTAAGGCATTACCAAGAACTCATATGAACCATACCGAGTGACACATGCTGTCTTTGGCTCATCTACCTCTAAGTTCCTGAC